AAAAAAAAAAAAAAAAAAAAGGCCGGGCGCGGTGGCTCACGCCTGTAATCCTAGCACTTTGGGAGGCCGAGGCGGGCGGATTGCTCAAGGTCAGGAGTTCAAAACCAGCCTGAGCGAGACCCCGTCTCTACCAAAAATAGAAATAAATTAATTGACCAACTAAAAATATATATACAAAAAATTAGCCGGGCATGGTGGCGCATGCCTGTAGTCCCAGCTACTCGGGAGGCTGAGGCAGTAGGATCGCTGAGCCCCGGAGATTGAGGTTGCTGTGAGCCAGGCTGACGCCCCGGCACTCACTCTAGCCTGGGCAACAAAGTGAGACTCTGTCTCAAAAAAAAAAAAAAAAAAAAAAAAAAAAATGCCCGGAAGAACCATCACAAGATTTATTTTATTTTAGGAAGGTTCATGGCCTCAGGTAAGAAATCTGTATTTCCCCATGACTTATTAAGAAAGGATATTGCTTTGGAAAATTACTTGGTTGTTGTTTGGTTTGGTTTCAGGGTGTGGAAAATGCCTTCTCACTTTTGGGATCTAGGTTTCCTCAAGCGCAGAGCAATGTTATCAGTACCTTATGTTCTGAATTTTCAAAGTCTTGGTGGAAACATTAAGAAACTTAAAGATTCGTCTGTAATATTCCCTGCTTTGTATCCCCTTAGATTTATGTATTCCTTGATTCTATTTTGAATAAGAGTTTATGTTGTATTTACTTTAGTTCTCTTTGATTTCCCCTGAAGGATGTTACTGAGAGGTCTGTGTTGACCCTAACTCACCTAGGAGTGAGGTGAACAGTTAACTCTGGTAGAAAAAGAAGAAACAGTTGACATTAGCTGCAAACATTGGATGCCTCGAACATTATTTGGCTTTAAACCAAAGTTTCAGTTTTCTCCTTTCTTTTAGTTAAATAACTTTACCAATGTCTTCCTGCTTCTGCTGGAATCTTTCTTCACGGGGATTTCTTCTGTGTTTGTGTTAGAAGTTTGCATCTTGTTTAACTTAAGTAATTCCCATGTAAGGTTTAATATGTGTTGTATTTGATAAATAAATTTAAGGCAGTAAAAAAAAAAAGAAAATTACTTGGGATTCATACGGGGCAGAGATTGAATTATAGCTTGCATCCCACATTCTTACTCTGTGTATAGAAAATCTGTGTTAAAAAGAAAAACCCTAGATCTGAATAAGGGAAAAGTTAATCTTTTTGGCATGGTGAGTACAAAAAGAAAAACCCTGAGCTCGAGCAACATGTAATGTAGTTTTGCTGTGGAAGGACCTGCTGACTTTCTCTACCATACCTTCCCAGAGATTCTTTCAAAGGGGCTGACCAAGAGATATGTGAAGATTTTTGTTGTTTGCATTAAAGAATACTTGAAAATAACCCAAAAGTATATCAAGGGGGAAATGTTTTAATAATCTCTAGTACACCTATTTTAAAAGAACACTTCATTGAAGAAGGGCAGAATTCAAAGATTCTCAAGACCTATGAAAAAAGCAAATTTCAAAATATTTACACTGATATGTAATTTGAAAAAATTAAATCTCATAGAATAGTGCTATATATTGTTATACCCATCACACACATAGGAATGCAAATAAATACGTAGGAATGATATCAACTCACCCTAGGAACTTCCACAAAAGTTATCAACGGACCAACCAGCATGAAAGAAATACACCATCTCTTAGGAGTTCTACTGATGTTAGGCTTTAAGATTATTCTGTCTCATTGTAATCAGACTTTTGAGGTCTTAGTTGGACGATCAAGAGGCAACACCAAGTTGATTATCAAGTCTTCATTCTCCTCCCTAATAAAAGGTACCCAGGGGCTAGAAGGCCAGTTAAACATGATATTGTGGATCACATTGGAATTGTCCATGAAAGTTGGGAATAGATATAAAAAACCACGGTCCCATAGAGTCATTTAACATCTACATGAATAAGTTTAATTCTCCCCAGGCTGGGTGTGGCAGATCACCCAGTAATTCCAGCGCTTTGGGAGGCTGAGCTGGGAGGATTTGCTTGAGGCTAGAAGTTCAAGTTTACAGTGAGCTGTGATTACACTACTGCACTCCATCCTGGGTGACAGAGTGAGACCCTATCTCAAAAAAAAATTTTTTTTCTTTCTACCCAAGAGATACCAAGATTCAATGGAAAGTAATTTGGTGATATTTATGGTGATGAAAATGTACTATGTGTGTATCTTGTGATGCAGTAACTCTAATTCTAAAAATATACCCAAGAGCAGAGGTTGGCAAATGTTTCCCATAATTGGCCAGATAGCAAATATATTCAGCTTGGCAATGACTCAGTTCTGCCACTGCAGTGAGGTAGTGGTCATAGCATGTAACAAACAAGCACGGCTATGATCCATTCAAAATTGACCAAAACAAGCAGCAAGCTGGGTTTTTGCAGGCTGTGGTTTGCTTACCTCTGCCCCAGAGAAACTCACATGTGCCTGGGAGACCTGCACATTGCTTGCCATGAGGAAGAAAGGAACAGAGCCCAAGTGTCCCCTAGCATAAGAAGAGGCCAAGTTCTATTTATTCAGTCATTCATTAGACTAGCATATGTTTAAAGCGAACATCAGAGAGCTATGTGTCACTATGCTGAAGACGTACGCAGTTCTTTCATGGGGAGAGATTGTGACCCCTCCTTGCAAAGCAGCTAAGATGAGGGCGGCATTTCAATTACACATCAGAGAGGGTTCCCCCAGCTCACCCCCAGCTCCAGGAGTCAGTCTACTTGTCCAACTCTTTCTGTCATAGTCACTGGGGTCACGTTTTAGTTCAAGTGGTAGCTTCAACCAGCTATGTGACCATGGGCAAATTACATCATACCCGTGACCTCCAGGGCATCCTGGTGTCAGATGGAGAAGTAATTCACAGAAAGTGAGTACTTGGCATTGTGTCGGATATATGGCAGGTGCTGAGTAAATATCAACCGACATGAAAAATGAGTAGTCGGTGCTATCTGCCAATTCTTAAGAAAAAGAATCAATTATATTTGCCAGAGTAAAGATTTTCCAAGAGAGGTTCCATTGAGTGGTAGGGATAGGAATTACATTAGTATTTACTAGGTGCTAACTGAAGGCCAGGATTTGTTCAGTGGGTCATATATTTTATCTTGTTTAACCTTTGTAATACCCTTTTGAGATATGTACTATTATTTAAATTCCCATTTTACTCATAAAGAAACAGAGACCCAGAAATTAAGCAAACTGTCTGAAGATACACAGCTAGTGATTGAGAGGGCTGGAAAACCCATGGTGTTAGTCATAGCACCAGAACATCCTCTCACTCGGATCACAGTGTGGAATAAGGAAGATACAGAGAAAAGGAATTATGATTTAAAGTTGTTCAGTGAGAAAGGAAAGTGGGAGATGTAACAATCACTTGATGAGGATGTGTAATTCAAGATGGAAAATACACTTTTGCTCTGAAAGAAAGCCCCTTGAGGTGTGATGTCCAATGTGGTAGCTACTAGCCACATGTAGCTATTTAAACTCAAGTTAAATGTAGTTTCAAAAATTCAGTCCCTTGGTCACATTTGCTGCATTCCAAGTGCTCAATAGTTGCATGTAACCAGTGGTTCCCATATTAGACAGGACAGATGTGGGCATTTCCATCACCACAGTAAGTTCCACTGGACAGCTCTTCCCCAGGGAGCAAAAGCCTTGTGATGCATAAAAGTAGAGGTGATAAAGGAGGCAAAGTCCCTTAAATATGGGCATGCAGCACAGAGATAAGGAGGGTGAACAGCTTATCTTGGTATGCTCAGGATTCTCCCAGGTTTAGCACCGAAAGTCCACCAACCCAGGAATAACTTTAGTCCTCACAGTACAAAATAGAAAGTCCCATATCTGGTAAATCCCCTCAATTCCAGGCCAATTGGGGCAGCCGGGTCACCCTAGATACAGGTTTGTCTTAAAACAGAAGTCCTGTGCAGACTGGAGTAGGGAGAGATCAGAAAGGTTTAGGAGTTCAGAAACCTGGTCTTTGAGGCAAGAGCATCAATCCCTGCATGCCAGGGGACTGTAGGCAATGCCTGTGGGTAGGGTAGTCAGGGGGAGGGAGAAAGAGAGAGGGAGAGAGAGTGCTTACTCAGAGTCATCGTGGAAATCAAAGCTGGAATTCTGCCCATTCATGAAGTTCAGGGTGACAGTCAGTTCCATCTCCTGCAAATTTCGACAGTACTTGAGGCAAAAAGCAGATACTTGAATGTCTGTATCCTTGTTGATTCTCAAGATAGCTTTATGATAACCATCCAGGGCCTGTCTCACGAAGTCTTCCTCCTGGATTTCGTGCAGACAGCAGAACAACTGTGGGACCCCGCAGCACGGAGACAGTGGGTGACTCTTATGCAACCAGGGCAGAACTTTGAACAGTTTCTTCTTGTTGCACCAGGACGGCCTGCATCTGAAGGACTGTGCCACGACCGACATGCACACCTCATTTAAAAGGCCAAATAGAAAAAGCCCCATGTGAGCAAGATCGTTGTTTCCTCTGGGACTTGCCACCAGGCGCCGGATGTCCATACGCGTCAACGCGTGAAAGGTTTTGAGTCTTTGTGGGAAACAGAGAACATAAAACAAGGCAGCAAAAAATTCCTGGAAAATCAAGAGGGTGAAGGCATAGTGATCTTCCTTGCTTTCCACCCTCCGGAGGATATTCACGCTGAGAAGAGCGGCGACTCCAGCCTCATCCACCTTGGCCTTTCTGAGGTCTTCCGTATTAAACACCCATTTCCTGCACCACATGCCCCGTGAGGCCAAGTGACACAGGCTTTCCAGTTGTTCTTGCTGCATCTTCCTGGAGAGGTTCTCAGCTCCAGTTGCAAACAGGCCTGAAAGATACTGGACAAACACAGTTGTGGCGTTGGGACACACCTGCGTGAGGTTTTCACTTCTCTCCACTAGCTGCTTCAGACAGGAGCAAACCACCCAGCACACCGCAGGCGCCTGGCACATGGAAAAGAGAATCGTGTTTTCCAGCGCAAAACTCAGGGCTGCACGGCCCTCCCTCGTGTTTCCAAAATAGGTCCTGAAATACTTGATTTTCTCTCTGGTATCAAACCCTGGCAGTGCTACACGAGAAGGACATTTCAGCATGGATTTGCACACCTGCCAGGAGGTGGGTCGTATCATGATCAGCAGCGTGGCTTCGGGGAGCATTCTCTTGCTCAACAAACTGCTCAGAATAACGGAGCCAGGCAGTTTCTGGGTGCAGTCGTCACTCAGCTTGTCAGGCTTTTCTATGAAGGTCGTTGGGAATTCCTCAAAGCCATCAAAGAGCAGCAGAAGTTGGTCTGGCGAGGACATGATCTTCGAGACAAGTGCCTGAGACTCGGGCCACTTGTTCTCAAGCAGCTCCAAGAAGCTTTGCCCTGCTGCCTGGTTCACCTCCTCGCAGTGGAAGTAGACAACGTACCAGAGCTTGTGGGCGTAGAACTTGTTCCCCGCCCACTCCATCATTATCCTTTTGGCCAGGGTTGTTTTTCCTACCCCAGGAACTCCCTGTATGACCACAGTCTTGGGCTGTCTGCCTTGAGGTCTTTTGGGTAGAAATAGACATGGTAAATACGTCTCGTGTCTGCCTACGTCTTGGTACAAGAAGTCCCTTTGGTTTCTAGGCCAAGTGGTACTGTTCCATATGGGTAAATACTTTTCTATCACGTGCAATTTGTACTTCTGCAGTTCACCTAGATTTGAGAGATGGCAGAAATACGGGGCACAACATCAGAGTTGCTTGTGAGAACTAACAGAATAGTAAGAAAACTTGATGTCTATGTCAAACCCCATGATACACTTGCATAAATTAGATACATTTCCTGACACTGTTACATCAGTTAATAAGCTGAAATTAACAGAAAACTCAACTTGAAGTAGCTTAAATGAAACAAGGACTGATTTTTCCATAAGAAATGTGGTAGGCACAAGGCTGCTGAAATTTGTTTGGTGGCTCCATAGGTTCACGGCAACTAGCACTGCGATTCTTTCAGCCCTTTTCCCCCACCTTACTTCTTGGCTCACAGGTAGAAGACTGCTGTTACAGTTTTAGCTGAACTGTCTGCATTCAAATCAGAAATAACTGAGGGAAGGGACACACTAATAGCTCATGTCTGTTTTTATCAGTATGAACAGAAGCACCTAGGAGACTTCTACTTATGTCTGATGGCCTAGAATTGCCACACAATTAACCCCAACTTCAAGAAAAGCAGGTGAAAAAAAGTATATATTTCCTGTAGGGATGGGCACATTTTATCCCTCCATAAAAGTGGATATTAGCTTAGAAGGTAGACAGTTTGGGTAGACAGTTTACAGGATGTCACAAACCTTCATCCTAATTTGTGATGCCTTTTTTCTCCCCTTTCCATTCCCTTAACTATAAACTTCACAAAGGTGGAGGTGATGCCGGGTTCCCACTGTGCCCCTGGCTGACAGGTAAAAGGACGCTTCCCAGGAATCTGAGATCTACCTACTTATTAGCTTTATGACCTTGAGCCAGTTACAGACTCTCTAAGCCTCAATCTTGGCATCTCTAAAATTGGAGTAGGATTTACTCTAATTTTCCTACTATAAAATCAGGGGTAGGGATTTTAGAGTGTTGTTAGAACTATAGGCTCTCAGCGAAATCTACCTACACCAGGGCTGGAACCAACCATCCCACCTTCCACTGCTGCGTGTTTTCACAGTCTCATGACAGATGGCAATGTCTTCCTTTGGCCCTTGATTTCTTATGAACTTTCTTTACACAATCTGATGGATAAAGGCTGTTTTCACACTAACAGAACTTGTCTTCTCTCTAGAATCCCACTTTGGTGGCCCCGATAGTGAAGGAAGGAGGGAGGATATAGTCATCTGCTCCATGCATTTGCCAGGTCACCAACCACTCCCATTCTGGCAACAGCACCCAATGTTTTCTTGGAACTCTATTCCTTCACACTTCCTGTCCATTAAATTGGGCTGTGACTAACCCCACCGCCATGCTAGCTCATAAGTCCACGAGCTAGACTTAGCCAACTGGAGCATCTCTTCACCAATGAGCTTGTGACTTTTGTTCATTCAGTGCAGTCAATTCTATAGCTTTTGCTGGAAATGTTAGAAAGTGAGTGCACTTTTTCTGCAGGTGCTAGGGCAGCTAGTGGCACAGGTTGCCAAGATGCAAGAGAGAGACAGCTCGAGACTGGATGCAACAGAATGTGAGCTACGAGGAGGAGAGACAGTGCCATGGTGATAGAGCTTGAGCCCTGGAGCCAGCTGTGTTGGAGGCTGACTTCCTAGCTAGTTAGTCTACCAGTGCTTTTTTCGCTCAAGTTCGGATTGGTCAGACTAACTAGACACAGTAACCTACACTCAGCCTTGCCTCAGGAACCATCACAATCCACACCCCATATCCCGCCTGGTCTGTGACAATGTGGGCACCTACCAGATTCTTCCTCCAGGTTCATTTGTGGTTCTCTAGGATGCATGTCCTCCGGTTCCAGGGTAGGGAGAATGTCTGAAACAGAAAAATGCCACCTGTCCCATGGGAATAGGATGACCCACATTGTAGGGACAAGAACATAGAGGCAGTGGGCCATTTTAGGATGAGAGCAGCCACACAGTGTGAAAACCTCATTCTCTCGCCACCTGCATTCAGGCGAAGAAAACCACCTAGGTTTCTATCACAGTAATCTTAGGAAATGAGACAATGGTGCTGTTTTATAATGCCCTAAGGAAAGCATTGATAAAATCATATATTTATAGCCCAGCCACACACTGAGGGAGAAATATATGCAAATACACATACACTCACACATATGTAAAATACATACACACTTTAAACATCTATGTGTATGCATATATGTATACAGTTGGCTCCCTGTATCTGTGGGTTTTCCATGTGTGGATTCAACCAACCAAGGATGGAAAATATTTAAAAAAAAATAATAAAAACACAAATAAGTAATATAACAACTATTTACATAGCATTTATATTATATTATGTATCATTAGTAATCTAGAAATGATTTAAACTATGTAAGATAATGTGTGTAGGTTACATGCAAATATGTCATTTTATATAAGGGATTTGCGAATCCTTGGATTTTGGTATCTGAGGGGGGTCCTAAAACAAATCCCCCTTGGATACTAAGGGATGATGGTGTATTCCTATTATGTGTATATGTACACATATATACATTCACACACCGTGTGTGTATACACACACACACACACACACACACACACAGTCATTGATTGTTATTCATGGTAGTTATATTCTATAAAATTGCTGTGAATGCTGAATTAGCAAACACTAAACCATTTTCCCCTGAAAATTACAGAGTTAGTTTCCTTTGACCCTCTGGTTATAATATTTTCATTGACTGGTCAATGACATGACCCCGTTTTATGTGTTTTTGTTTAAAGACATCTTATTTAATATACACTGTTGATTCATTAACATTGAACTCATGGCCAACAGCACTATGAATCATGCCTGAATAAAGCTTATCTAACACATGTACCTTCTCCATAAGGCACATCATAGCCCTTTAAAAAATTTTTTCCCCCATCTTCGGGCTGGAGAAACATCCCAGCCTTCTTGTGCTTACTGGATGGCACTTCAGTATCACGTTTGGGGGCCTTTTGAACAGCAAAACCACCAACCAAGAGCATAACAATATGGCACTAAACAGACCATGGAAAGGACACCGGCGTACAGGATGAGCCCTGTTTGATCTCAGCCGGGAACATGCATTAGTCAACTCAAGGTTTTCACTGCTTTGTTCAGGTCTACGAATGACCTCGAAAAACTTAAGTATTGATTTTGGGGCTACAAGCAAATTTGAGTAGGCAAATTCACAATACGCAATCCACAAATAACGAGTATCAACTGCATACATCTGTTTTCATGAGGTTTTCATTATTACTGTTAGTAACATTTTCTGTTCATTGACGCCAAGATTTTTCTCTAGCCCCAAGCCATGAGGTTTCCCTCACCTGATTTTCTTTTTCATTTATTCTCCCTCCTTCCCACGTGGCTGCTGTGTTCTCATTTGTTATGGCCCAAACTTAGTGTCACTTCCTCAAAGACGACTTCCTGGGTTGCCTTATCTAGAGCGAGTCCCTGTCTGCAATCACTTACTCTGTAGCCACTCAGTATTCAAGCCCATGACACACCAGGTGCCCAGCCAGCTGCCGGGGTCAGAGTGGCCAAAGAGACAGGTGATGCACCTGCTCCCCTGCCCTTCAGGTTTAAAAATTGTGTACTTTGAAGCTTCTGTTTTTACCAAGAAGAATGTTGATTACTCATAACCATTGGGAGAGGTAGTTAACATCATACATCACGTTTGTGGATTTGTTCATTTTTCCTTTTAGTGTAGCAGTTCTTCTTTACCCACAGGGTGTGTTCTGAGACTCCCAGTGAATAGACTCCCAAACCACATATATACACTATGTTTTCTCCTATATGTACCTATGATAAAGCTTAATTTATCAACTAGGCACAACAAGAGATTCATAATAAAATAGAATAATTATAATATGCTATAATAAAAGTTATGTGAATATTGTTTCTCTCTCAAAATATCTTATTGTACTCTACTTGCCTATTTTTGGACTGCAATTTACTGTGGGTAACTGAAATCTTGGAGAGCGAAACTGTGGATAAGGAGGAACTACTGTAGTCAAGTTTGGCTTTGTATATATTGAAGACATGTCATTGTGAAATGGCTATTTTTAATCTTTAATCTTCTTGCCTTAAATATTACATTGCTGACATCACCATAGATATACCAGCTTTCTTCTGTTCAGTGTTTTCATGTTACATGTTTTTTCCACTATTTTACTTCCTACTTCTCTGTGTCTTTATTTAGCACATTGACTGTCATGTGAGTTGTATTTAACTCAGGCTGGTTTTGAGCCTGGAGAGCCATGCAGCAAAACCCTGCCATTGGTCCATGAAAATCTTACTTGTTAATATTAATTGTAACAATAAGAACATTGACAATTTAATTCTGAAACAGGATTGTGTTGCATATAACTCATGGACAAAAACCAATAAAAAATAACAAATTTTAGAAAGGATCATTTTGTTTTAAGAAAACACCATGGCACCAGAGAAACATTTTTTTTTTCCTAGTGTAGCAGGCAATGTGTTAAAGCTTATCTCTCATAAGCAGTATCTGGTTAACTATTTTTTTTTAATATGTCAATATGATAGTGTTTGCTTTTCGGTGTTTGATGCATCTTACCCCACTGTTTGTGTTCTAGTTCAGGGTTCAGGGGTTCCATAATGCATATTGGGGCTAGTGGAGTATCTAGCTCCTTAGCACCTAAGTCTGCCTGTGCTTTGTATACCAGACCGTCACTCACCATTTAGCTCCCGTCGTACCAGAAAAGACATATTGTCCTGGTTCATCTTGGCAAAGATGTCGCGCGTCACATCCCAAGCTTTCCGTCCGGGGAAGTTCTCTATCAAGAAATGGACCATCTCTGCCCAGTGGGCTGTCTCCAGATGGTCCCAGGCAATGTGGAAAGAGCCAGAAGTGATCTCATTCACTAAACCCTGCTTGAACATCTGCAGCTCCTCCTTGCTCAGATACAACATGTACAGCATGACCGCGTCTTCACAAGGGGATGAGGAGCAGCACGAGCACGCATAGGGCAGGGTGCAAGAGGCACGCATGGTGGAGAAGGAAAGGGGAGAGATGGGGCTGGCTCTTGGACGCACACGACTCATCTTCACTCAAGGCCCAGAACACCTCAGCGTCTGTGTTGACAGCAACCGTTCAGAAGAGAGAACAGGAGAGACCTGTGGAGACATAAAACAAGAAGATGGAAACACCACCCAGGACAGATTTGTTAAATGCATATTTGGTAGTGTATTCTGCATGCCAAACACTCTCTTCACCTCCTTTCCTCAAAGACTCTCCGTCCTGTGGAAAATGCTGACTACCCGTTGAGTGCTTGGAGCAGGCTCACATCTGCTTGCTGATTTTTACTCTCTATGCCCCCTTTTGGGGAAGAGGCAAGCAAAAATATCACAGCCTTTGTAAAAGATTTAGCAAAAAAACAGAGAGGCAGGTAAAATAATTGAATGAAGCTAAAATCTAGAAAATATGTGTTTAGCCAGAGGCCCCCATTAGACTAAAACTCAAGTTCAACAAAGTTTTTATTTTTAATTAAGCAATGGATCATGGGTGTATTTTTGTCCCCCTCTAATAATAGCTTATTTAAACAAATTTCCCCCTCGTTTGACACTCAAACTTCTGGATAAATTTGATTAATTTTTTTTGAAACAGAGTCTCATTCTGTTGCCCAGGCTAGAGTGGAGATATGTTCTCTGTAGTTTTTTAAACTCAAGGGATAAAGTGAGATCATTAAAATGCTGAGCTTAGGAAAGAAAGGAAAGAAGTCCAAGGACTGAGTTCTGGGCACCCCAGTACCCAGAGGTCTGCTGGAGGGGCCAGCAAAGGAAATTGAGAAACAGAAGCCAGTGTGGCAGGGGCGGAGCAAGATGGCAGATGAGAAACACCACCAGACAGAGTATCTCTGCAAAAAAGAAAGTTTCTAGAAGAAATAAGAAGAAAGAAGGAAGCAGACGAGCATACATTGGCCGAGGATCGGAAGGAGGGGTACTGGAGACTCCAGGAGACTCCACAGGAGGAGGTTGTGGAGGAGAACTGGAAGCAGAGACCTCCCAATAAGCTTGGAGACCAGTGGCAAGGGTAGGTGGAGCAGTTAACTTTCCCCTCCCTTGCATCTTGGACTGCTGGTGGGCTCCCCAGCGGGAGGAGAGGCCTGCAGACACTAGGCCAGAGACGGCCACCACCAGTGAGCGGTAAACCTGTAGTGGACACGGCACCAGACTCCCAACTCCTGCAGGACACCTCTGTGTGCACAGACCCAAGCCATGCAGCAGGCACCATATTGTTCCATTCTCCCCTTCCCTGACCCTAACCCCGGCTGCTGAGAGAGACAATATAGCCACAGCCAGAGGCATCGCCAGGGAATGGGAACTTCCCTTTTGGGGCCCTTTAGCTAACTAAGGGGTACTCAGACTGTGATCTCCCTACCTGCCAGCCCTCCCAGGTGCTGCTGGCCTGGTGACTCCAGGAGAACAGGGCAGACCCTGAGGCTGAGAGACATCGAACCAGCTAGGGCTCCTGTGGGTGAATTGAGACTGGCACTACTCTCCCTGGTGGGGTCAGGGATTGAATTCTGGGGCCCAGAGGTCAGACCTGTGGACCAGATCCCACGCACCCAGGTCTCGCATTGCCGGGGGCACAGAAGGGATATTCGTGAACAGCCCACTGAGGTGTGTGTGCCTTCAGGGGCAGATCAGCATCTTTGAGGGCAACCCTCCTCTCAAGGCGGGGCTGTGTGCCCAGCCCAGGCAGCACCCCTGCACCGGGAACCTCCCGGCCCACATCACACCCAGGGGAGACCCAGAGGTGTGAGGTCTGGCCTGCTAGTAGAGGCCTAGGAAAAGCTGTGGAGTTGGGGAGGGTGGAAAGGAACGAGGCCTGCTCCAGACTGCGGGTCTCAGACGGCCCCACCCCCACATGCAGACTTTCTGACTGAGCGGGGCCATTTGAGCCCCTCCCTGACAGCTTTTCCCTAGAAACAGAGAACAGAACTGTGACCCCTGCTAACAGCATTTGTAGTGCCTGAGGGCAGGGTTACCCAACCCAGCTCCGCCCAGACTCTCTCCCAGACCAGCCCTCACTGAGGTGGAGAATAAGGACACACTTGGAAGTCCCAGAGCCCCACCCACAACCTGAGGAACTAGAGTGTTAAAACAGTGTTACTCATGGATCAGCACAATAAACACTCACGAATGTAAATCTACTCGAAAGCTAAAGATCAAAGTCCAGAAACCACAATGGCTCAAGAGAGAACACAGCAACAAAGTTCAACCCAACATAATGAACAGAAATCTGCCCCACCTATCAGTTGTCTCAATAAATGTGAATGGTTTGAACTTCCCACTCAAGAGACATAGGCTAGCCAAATGGATTTAAAAAAAATGCAAGCCAAGTGTCTGCTGCATTCAGGAAACACATCTAACCTGCAAGGATACATATAGCCTAAAGGTAAAGGGATGGAGACCAATATTTCAAGCAAACAGACGCCAAAAGAAAGCTGGCATGGCAGTGCTGATTACAGATAACTTAGTATTTAAATCAACAAAAGTAATAAAAGACAAAGAAGGTCACTATATAATGGTGAAGGAAACAATTCAAGAAGACATAACAATACTAAATATATATGCCCCCAACTTTGGGGCACCCAGATTCATAAAGCAAAGTCTACTTGATCTAAACAAATGGGTAAACACCACCACCATAATAGTTGGACACTTTAGCACCCTACTGACAGCACAGGACAGATCCTCCAAACAGAAAATCAACAAAGAAATAATGGACTTAAACAGAACTCTAGAACAAATGGGCCTGACATTTACAAGATATTCTATCCCCAAACCACTGAATATATGTTCTTCTTATCAGCTCATGGGTCATTCTCTAAGATTGACCATATGCTTGGACACAAAGCATGTCTCACACAATTTAAAAAGATAGAAATTATACCATGTATCTTTTCAGATCACAATGGAATAAAAGTAGAAATCAACCCTAACAGGAACTCTCATTTATACACAAAATCATGGAAACTAAACAACCTTCTGCTGAATGACCACTTCATAGATGAGGAAATCAAAATGGAAATCAAATGATTCTTTGAACTAAATGACAAAGGATACACAAGTTATCAAAACCTGAGGGACACAGTTAAAGCAGTCCTGAGAGGAAAGTTTATTTCCATAAATGCCTATATCCAAAAGTATAAAATATCACAAATAGACAACCTAATGAATCACCTCAAAGAACTAGAAAAAGAAGAACAGACCAACCCCAAACCCAGCAGAAGAAGTGAAATCATTAAGTTCAAATCAGAACTAAACAAAATTGACAATAGGGAAACCATACAGAAGGTTAACAAATCAAAAGTTGGTTCTTACAAAAAATAAACAAAATTGACACACCTTTGGTTAGACTAACAAAAAGTAGAAAAGAAAAATCTCTAATAAGCTCCATCAGGAACAGTAAGGGAGAAATTACAATGGATGCCACAGAGATACAAGATATAATTCATGAATACTAAAAAAACCTCTATGCACTAAACTGGAAAATGTGGAGGAAACGGACAATCTCTCAGAAACACACAGCCTCCCTAGGCTCAACCGGAAAGAAATAGAATTTCTGAACAGGCCAATATCAAGTACTGAAATTGAAACAGCAATAAAAAACCTTCCTAAAAAGAAAAGTCCTGGACCAGATGGTTTCACACCTGAATTTTACCATACCTACAAGGAAGAACTGGTGCCTATCCTGCAGAAATTATTCTACAACATCAAAAAGGATGGAATCCTCCCCAACACATTTTATGAAGCGAACATAACCCTGATACCAAAACCAGGAAAGGATGCAACAAAAAAAGAAAACTACAGACCAATATCCCTTATGAATATAGATGCAAAAATTCTCAATAAAATCCTAGCCAATTGAATCCAGGTGCTTGTCAAGAAAATAATTCATCACAACCAGGTGGGCTTCATCTCAGGGATGCAGAGATGATTCAACATACACAAATCTATAAATGTAATTCACCGTATAAACAAAAGCAAAAACAAAGACCATATGATCCTCTCAACAGACGCAAAGAAAGCATTTGACAAAATTCAACACCCTTTTATGATAAGAACGCTCAACAAAATAGGCATAGACGGGGCTTACCTAAAAATGATACAGGCCATATATGGCAAACCCACAGGCAATATCATACTGAATACGGAAAAATTTAAAGCACTCCCACTTAAAACTGGAACAAGACAAGGTTGCCCACTATCTCCACTTCTGTTCAACATAGTGCTGGAAGTCCTCGCTACAGCATTCAGATAAGACAGCGAAATTAAGGGCATCCAAATGGAAGCAGAAGAGATCAAACTCTCACTCTTTGCTGATGACATGATATTATACTAGAAAATCCCAAGGATTCAACAAAGAGACTCCTTGATCTGATAAATGAATTTGGTAAAGTCTCAGGATACAAAATCAATACACAGAAATCAGAGGCATTTATATACGCCAACAACAGTAAAAGTGAGAACCAACTCAAAGACTCAATTCCCTTCAAAATAGCAACAAAGAAAATAAAGTACCTTGGAATATATTTAACTAAGGAGGTAAAAGACCTCTACAGGGAGAACTATGAAACACTGAAGAAGGAAATAGCATAGGATGTAAACAGATGGAAGAATGTACCATGCTCGTGGGTCGGCAGAATCAACATTGTTAAAATGTCTATACTACTTAAAGTGACCTACAGAGTCAATGCAATCCCTATCAAAATACCATCATCATTTTTAACAGATATAGAAAAAATAATTTTATGCTTTGTATGGAACCAGAAAAGACCCTGTATAGCAAAATCAATCCTAGGCAATAAAAACAAAATAGGAGGTATCAATTTACCAGACTTCAAACTATATTACAAGTCTATAGTCATTAAAACAGCTTTTTACTGGCACAAGAACAGGGACACTGGCCAGTGGAACAGAGAACCCAGATATAAAACCATCCTTGTATAGCCAACTAATCTTCAACAAAGGAAACAAAAACA